GGCTGGGGCTATGACCCAGAGGGAAGAGCATTTGAACAGGGAGATGACATGACTTATTTGGACATGTTAAGGATGCAGTGGCATGAGCCTCCGGGTGAACATGTACAGCAGGTAGTCAGATACCCAGGTTGGAAGCTGGTTTATATCCAGTAGATATTTGCATGTGCATTCAACTGCTTCTTCTCCAAAAAGGTCTGTCCTCTCAGTCAAGCCTGGGCACAGAAAGGAGTGGAGCCCACAGTCTGGGTTAAGTTTTGGGTTTGTTGTTGTTGTGTTCCTTCGAGTCATTTCTGACCCATAGCCATCCTTCATAGGGTTTCTGAGACTATAAATCTTTATGAGAACAGAAAGGCTCATCATTCTCCTGTGGAGCGACTGGTGGATTCCAACACGTGACCCCAGTTAGTAGTCCAACATGTGACCCATGCCACCACCAGGGCTCCTTAAGGTTTGGGTTGTGGTTGTTGTTAAGTGCCGTCTAATTGGGTCTGACCCATAGTGACCCTGCATAAGGTTTCTGAGGAGCAGCTGGTGAGCTTGAACCTCTGACCTTGGTTTGGGTTAGGGGATGATAATTTATTGAAATGGCCACACAGAATTCACAGATATTACTCACTATTGTGGTATTTATTAGGGAAGTTACAATTCAGGGTCAGGAAAGATTCAGGATACAATTGTTCAATCAAAACAGTTTCTTTTCAGCCATGTCCACACTAACTTATTCAACAAACCTTTTCCTGAGTATGTGCTATTTGCCAGACCCTGTGCTAGAAACAGAAAGAAAAGCAGAGACTGCTTGGGTCTTCAGGAAGTTTTTAGTCCATAAGGAATTCAGCATGGTCAGTGCTATCGAGGTTAGCAGTATGAAGGCTGTGGGAAGTCAGTCAGACAAGGGTCCCAGGCCCAGCCAGGATGGTAACAGACTGAGTCAGGTGAAAAGGGATGAGGAATTGGCCAGGGAACCAGCATGGGGACTGGGTTTCAAACTAAGGGCTTAACATATGGAGAAAAGACAACGGTGGTAGAGGGGCTGGAAGGTGGTGTCAAACAGAGCCAGAGAGGAGTCTTGGGGTGGTGCTGGGGTTAATGCACTGGACTACAAGGGCAGTTTGAACTGCAAGATTGGCGGCTCAAGCTCACCAGCCGCTCCTCGGAAACCCTATACTGGGTCACCGGTGGTAGTACAAATGGGTTCAACTACTTTGGAAAATTGTTTGGTAACATCTTTTAAAGCCACATATTGTTGGTGTTCGGTGCTGTCAGGTTGGTTCTGACTCATAGCAACCCTGTATATGGTTTCTGATTAGCAGCTGGTGGGTTTGAACCATTAATGTTGCTGTTAGCTGTCCAGTGCTTACCGCACAGCACCACACCAAGACCGCAAAGCTGAACATATGCCTATCCTAAGCCAAAAAGCAAACCCATTGCAACTGAGATAATTTCAACTCACAGCTACCCGCTAGGACAGAATAAAATTGCCCCATAAAATTTCCAAGGCCATAATCTTTTAAATTTATTTTTAACTTTTTATTGTGAATTGAGTGAAGGTTTACAGAGCAGATCGTCTGTTTGACATTCCACAAATCCTACCCTTGGCTCCATCTCAATGATTGCAATCCCCTCCATGCAACAACAATCATCCCACTTCCTCCCTGGGAGTCCCGTTCCCATTCTTCCTTCTTTCCCAATCCTTCTGAATTTTGTCCTTAGGTAAAGGCTGCCCCTTGGATCTCAAATGGTTGATGATTCTACGATGTTCACACCTCACTAGTGTTGTTGTCCCCCCAATATACCTATCTAGTGCTTGACCCCAAGGGTGATCAAAGGCCATAGCCTCAGAGTTCCATCAGTCTCTCTCTAACCAGTAAGCCTGGTCTTTTTTATGATTTTGAGTTTTGTTCCACATTTTCTCCCACTCTATCCAGGATTTTCTGATGTGATCCATTTTGAAACAGTTGTTGGTGGTAACTGGGCACCATCTAGTTCTTTTGGTCTCTGGATCATGGGGACTGAGATTTACATGACCCCGTGAGTCTATTGGATTAATTGTTTAAAAGCATCTTCAATTTTCAACACTCTTTTTTCCTCTGAACTGGAGAGACCAATAGTTACACCTTAGATGATAAAGGCATAACCTTTATGGAAGCAGATTGCCCCATTTTTCTCCTATGGAGCAGCTGGTAGGTTCGACCACTGGGTTAGTAGTTGAGTGTTTGACCGCTGGACCACCAGGGATCCTTACACCTATCCTATTGTTAATTGCCATAGAGAGTTGGTTCAGACTCATAGCAACCCTGTATAGGGTTTCCAGGGAGCGGCTGGTGTATTTGAACTGTCAACGTTGTGATTAGCAGTCCGGTACTTATCCAACAGAGCCACACCAGGACTCCTACACCTATCCTATGACCTAGCAATTTTTCTCCTTGGTCTATCTATACACAGTAGAAATGCATACAAAAGAAATGTGCTCATCTTAGCCCAACACAAAGCAGTGCTCATATTAACCCAACACAGAAAATAGCCCAAATGTATCTCAACAGTTGAATGGATGAATCAATGATTGTGAATTCATATTAAAATGTAACACCATTCAACAAGAATAAACTACAACTAACTACACACGACATTGTGATGAATCTATGAACATAATAATAGTGTTAAATGACAGAAGCCAAATACAAGAGGACACATGGTATGATTCCATTTATATAAAAAACAAAAATAAACTAAATGAATCTATGCTATTTGAAGTTGGGACCGCAGTTACTCTTGGGAGGAAACAGGGGCAGTTAGATGTAACCAGTAAACTGATTACTGACCAGTGAATTTTAACTAATGGCAGGCAACTCCATGTTTCCTAGAGTAGAACTGTGCTCCAGAGAGCTTTCAGCTAGGCTGGTGTTTTGGAAGTAGATCACAGACAGACCTTGCTTCCAAGCTGCCTCTAGGTGGACTTGAACCACCAACCTTACAGTTGGCATCCAAGTGTGTTAACCATTTCCAGAGACTAAGGGTGCAGGTAATGTTTTATTTCTTGATCTGGGCTCTGGTCTCACAGGCTTGTCAAATATATAAAAATTCACCAAGTTGCACATTATATATACAATTTTCCTTATATAGCTTATAATTTAATTTTTTAAAGTGTTAAATATTAAAAAAGGAAAATAGTCATTTTTTTTTACAAAACCAAACCTCAAACCTTGGCCTTTTTGATTGAATAGACTGGACCCAACAGAGATACAGGTTGGAAACAATTCTCCTTTCCTGTCATCCACAGTCTTCCAACAGGTACTTGCTCAAAAAATTGTCCCCATCTCTAACACAGGAAAACAGCCCCAATATGAGGGAGCTCTCTTCAGAATGCAGAATCTTCATCATCTGTTGTTCTCAGATAGGTGTCTGGACAGAAATTTGGAGTGGCCTGTAAGAGGCCCACTCCCCCCTCGGGTTCACACAGGTTGTTGGAGGGACCCACAAAGCAGCCTTCTATAGAGGAGCAGTGTGCCCCTACCTCCTGACTAAGTGTATAGACAGGATCCTTCCTTGTGGGTACAGTGGGGAGGAAGGCTGGACCAGTCCATAGAGCTTAACTTCCGCTCCCAGCACCCTGCCCTGCCCTTGAGAGAAACAAGTCCCCCTATTCTCGATCCTGAGAAGAGCTGGATATCCCTCCTCAGGGACCCAGAAACCCAGCACCCCTTTGAGCCCTGAATAGTTCTTTGGGGTAGGTGGAGCTGAGGTATCATGGCCCAAGGCCAAGGACTGATCCTTTTCACTTTGTTTGGTGCTTCTGATATCACATGACCAGGGATAGTCAGACCAATCTGATAGGGGGTGGTGTTTATAAAAAGCTCCCTTATCCGAAGCCAGACGCTCTGGACCAGCCCCCTCAACCCTGCTGATCTCAAACACCTGCCTCAACAGGTATCTCCTTTGAGCCCAATTCCAGTTTCTGAGATCCCCTACCATGTTAACTGGGAGGAGGGTAGGGGGAACTTGGGCTAGGAATTGTTGTTGTTAAGTGCTGTCGAGTCAGTTCCAACTCACAGTGACCCTTTATAAGGTTTCCAAGGAGTGGCTGGTGGGCCTGAATTGCCATCTTGCAGTTCAAATCCACCTTGCGGCCCAGTGCTTATCCTACAGCACCCCACCAGGATTCCTGGGCTAGGAATGTTGTTAAGTGCTATTGAGTCTGTTCTGACTCATAGCAACCCTGAGCAGCTGGTGGGTTTGAACTGTCAACCTTGTGGTTTGCAGTCCAGTGCTAGTCCTACAGTGTCATACCAGGAGTCCTGAATTCTAGTCTTTGCTCTCCAGCTCTGGACCTCAGTTTCTTTGTTTTGAAATGGGCAGCTTGAACTAGGCCATTTCTATGGACACTTATTTGGTTGGATTGGAGTAGAGAGTTGAGACGGGTTTCCCACCAGGTACTAAGCCAATCCTAACCTTACATGTAGCCTATCTTCAGCCTCCAAGACTGGGAAGGAATGGGGACTCATCTTCAGAGGGGGTCACCTTTGTTGGTATTGCTAGAGAGCCTGAGGGTGGTAGGCATCATGAGCTATTTGTATCAGCTTTGAGGCCTTGGCCCCCTCACTGTTGCTGGGCATACGCAGTCCCTATCCTTGAGTATGTGAGGGGTATTGATGCAGGAGAGGGACCACAAGAACTATCACAATGTCCAGTGTACAGATAGACTGCCCAGAGACTGCATTGGCTCCCTTTTTTTGGAGTGGTCACTTGCCTCTACTCAGAACTTGAAATGATGCTGTTAAGCAGAAGGGAGGGCCAGGGCTGGGGTTTCAGACGCTCAAGGCTACTTTCCAGCCCTCTGACTCTGTGATGCTCTAAGGATGAGCTCCTTAACACAGGACCTATGGATGTATCGAGTCTTTCTGGTGTCCAGCATGGATCCATGTTTATTAAATAAGTAAGCGAGTGAATGAATGAATTCGCCCCCAGCCTGACTACTCCTTTCTCTTTCCCTATAGTTGGTAACAATGACATTACTCCAGATTGTTCCTTTCTCGGCCACTGAGCTCCTCCTGGCCTCTGCCATCTTCTGCCTGATATTCTGGGTGGTCAGAGCCTGGAAACCACAGGTCCCCAAAGGCCTAAAGAGTCCCCCAGGGCCCTGGGGCTGGCCCCTGATTGGGAATGTGCTGACCTTGGGGAAGAACCCGCACCTGGTGCTGACACAACTGAGCCAGTGGTATGGGGACGTGATGCAGGTACACATTGGCCAGACACCTGTGTTGGTGCTGAGTGGCCTGGACACCATCCGGCAGGCCCTGGTGCGGCAGGCCGATGACTTCAAGGGCCGACCTGACCTCTACAGCTTCACCCTTATCACTGATGGCCAAGGCATGACCTTTAACCCTGACTCTGGACCAGTGTGGGCTGCCCGTCGGCGCCTGGCCCAGAACGCCCTCAACACCTTCTCCATAGCCTCAGACCCGGCCTCTTCATCCTCCTGCTACCTGGAGGAGCATGTGAACAAGGAGGCTGAGGTCCTCCTCAACAAGTTACAGGAGCTAATGGCGGGGGCTGGATGCTTCGACCCCTACAGTCCCGTGGTGGTGTCGGTGGCAAATGTCATTGGTGCCATGTGCTTCGGGCAACACTTCCCCCAGGCCAGTGAGGAGTTACTCAACCTCATAGAGAACTCCCATGAGTTTGTAGAGACTGCCACCTCTGGGAACCCCGTGGACTTCTTCCCCTTTCTTCGATACCTGCCCAACCCCGCCTTACTTAGGTTCAAAGACTTCAACCAGAGATTCCTGAGGTTCCTGCAGAAGACGGTCCAGGAGCACTATCAGGACTTTGATAAGGTTAGTCCTGGGTGCAGACCCTGGGTATGGTCCCTCTTACCCAGTTTGAAAGGTACTTAGGAAGGCCAACCTCGCTCCCTCTCTTTGCCTCAGTTTCCTTATCCCTCTGGCTTCTTTCCCAGGTCTGCTGCAAAGCCCAAAGAGATAAGTCATGTGAATGGGGTCTTGGCAGAGCCCTGCTTCAGGGGGAGGAAGGAGGGGATATTATGAGTGAGAAGACCTTTGTTCTGCATGAAACCTAAGCCCCAACAGAGGCTAATCCTCAACTCAGGTGTCACTCTACTTCCCTCTGTAAACATCCACCTCTTCCTCCTCCGAAATTGGATCCATGGGGTTACAGAGATGAAGAAGGACCAATGGGTCGTGAAATGGTACTCTAAGCCCTACCCAAAGCTGCTGCAGACTTCTGTTACGATCCCCCACTCACTTCCTAAAAGCCAAAGGGGAGTAATCAGCCCCCAGAGATAAATCAGGTGCGGTAGACAAGGTGAAGGGTCCAGCTTGGGCTCCCAGAAGTGTTGCAAAACTTGTAACTTTCAGAACAGTGTCCAGGACATCACGGGTGCCCTGTTCAAGCACAGTGAGAAGGGCTTCAGAAGCAGCAGTGGCCTAATCCCCCAGGAGAAGATCGTCAATCTTGTCAACGACATCTTTGGGGCTGGTAGGAGCTAGACCCCCTGCCCCTCCATCCATCTGTACCTGCCTTTCACCCACAGCCTTGCCCAAGCCCCACATCCATCAAATAACCCGCCAACCACTCACCAGATAGTACAGGACAGAGACCAGATCCAGAACAAGGTGGGAGGCCTGACTGTACAGCCATCTCCCAGTGGAAATTTGACCAAGTCCCTCACCTCCTCTGGGCCTCAGTTTCCCCATCGGAACAAAAAAGCGCTCTCTGATTTTGATTTCAGCAGCTAATTAGGAAACCAATGCTCAAGTCAATGTTAAGATCCAGCCCTGGGAAGTTCATGGGCAGGGGCCAGAGAAAAAGAAAGCTCCGTACAAGGTGAGTGCTCGGTAAATGCTAGTTTCTTTGTTTTTGTTTTCCTTTCCTCCTTAACGAACTCCACACTACCCAGGATTTGACACAGTCACAACAGCCATCTCCTGGAGTCTTCTGTACCTTGTTACCAAGCCTGAGATACAGAAGAAGATCCAGAAGGAACTGGGTAGGCTGTGTCCCTGAACCTGCTGGCCAGGAAAAGCCTTGGGGCCCCAGGTCATTTGCTCAATCTGCAAGCTTCCTTTGCCTACAATGTGCCAAGCCCTGAACATACAAAGGTGCCTCACCTTTGCCCAGAAGATGCTGGAGGTCAGTAAGGTCTCAGACAAGTAAACAGGCATAGTTCCATATAACGTGACACACAGTATAATAGAGACAGGGGCCTAGAGCAGTTGGAACAGACTCTAAGCCCTGTTCATCCTCTGTAGACACAGTGATTGGCAGGGCACGAAGGCCCCGGCTGTCTGACAGATCTGAGCTGCCCTATCTGGAGGCCTTCATCCTGGAGCTCTTTCGACATTCCTCCTTTGTCCCCTTCACCATTCCCCACAGGTGAGAACTGCCCATCCTGACTCCACCTCCAAAATTCTCATCGGGTCTCTGAGTTACTCCTTCAAGTTTCTCAGCCCAGCCTGACTCAGACCCCAGCATCTCCTTCCTGGTTGTGACACCAGGTTCCTCACATACTCTGTTCCATTCAAACATGCTCAGAAGACCCCACTGAAAAGGCTTCACAAAATTTCTCAAGAGAAACCCACACTTAAGACCTCAGTTCTCATTAAATTACATCCACATTCCCTCTGCTCCAGGCAGTTGGTCTCTCCAGCCTTTTCAAGCAGGTTCCAACCAATCTCCAAGTTTGCTTCTGCCTAGAATGCCTTCTACCCTAGTCTCTGGCTACCAGAATCTTACCCTTACCTAAGGTCTATCCTGACACACAGTTCCCCTTTCCCAGAGTCTTTTTCAACTCACTCAGCTGACATGGCTTCATTTTCTGATATTCCACTAGACTTATAGCTATTTGTCCTCACTTCCTCCTCAGCACAACGAAGAACACAACACTGAATGGTTTCTTCATCCCCAAGGAACGCTGTGTCTTTGTAAACCAGTGGCAGGTCAACCATGACCAGTGAGTACCCATCCCCCACTGAATACTGTGCAAGTTCAGCAGTCAGAAAGGCTGCTTGTTCCTTCAAAGAACTGACTATCTAATGAAGAAATGGCACCTCGTTTGCTGTCTAGCCTGGTGTTGTAGGTATGTGTTGCTCAAACTTTAAGGTGTATAAGAAGCGACCTCAAAGATTCTGGAAAGTAGTAGGTGCCTCAGATAGATCTGATGTGAATGGCCAGCCCAAAGACATTTCTTTGGAAAATCCCACTTTAGTCTATAAGTAAGGGGACCATGTAATTTACATCTAAAACTGAGACCTTTTTTAAAGTGAATGGGGGTGCTATTAATAGTTACCTTAAGACAATAAGCAATAACCAGGATGTACAGCTGATAGCATAGTTATCTGGAGTAAAGTTAAACATGTTTTCCTTCCTCTAATGTTTTTAAAACATTGTTTCTTTAAAATAGCAAATTAACATTAAGAAACACTATTTTCATGACTGACCATTTTAGAGAGAGCTTAGCAAACAAAATAAGTATCCAAGTACAATTTGGTCCCTTTCCCACTAACTTTTGACGGCTCTCAATTTAGGTTAACACATGTCATCATTCCATGGGAACCTCAGCTCTTGTGTCTTTGTCCAGAAGACTCCTCAGGTCTTTCCTCCCAGGACTTTGCCATCCCTGAGATTCTATCTCCTGTGTCCTTCTTGCAGGAAGCTCTGGGGGGACCCATTTGAGTTCCGGCCAGAGCGATTCCTCACTGCCAAAGACAACACCATCAACAAAAACTTGAGTGAGAAAGTGATGCTCTTTGGCATGGGCAAGCGCCGGTGCATCGGGGAGGTCCTAGCCAAGTGGGAGATCTTCCTCTTCCTCGCCATCTTACTTCAGCGGCTGGAGTTCAGTGTGCCACCAGGTACAAAAGTGGACCTGACCCCCATCTACGGGCTGACCATGAAGCATGCTCGCTGCAAACACATGCAGGCACGGCTGCGCTTCTCCATCAAGTGATGAAAGCCCCACCATGCTGAGGCAGGGGATGGGGGCACCCATGGGGCCTCAGCCCTTTCTGTTTTTCTTTTAACATACAACCACTTTATTGGAATATAATACATACCACACAATTCACCTATTTAAAGTGTAAAAGTCAATCGTTCTTAGTATATTCAAAAAGTTGTATAAGTACCACCATAATAAAGTGAGAACATTTTCATCACCCCCAAAAGAAACCCCATATTTACCAATAACCACTTCCCATTTTTCCCCAACTTGCCCCTACCCCAATTCCAGCCCTAGGCAATCTCTAATCTATCTGTATATAAATGTGTCAATTCTGGACACTTCAGATGCATGGAAGTACACAGTGTGTGGTTTTTTGTGTCTGGATTCTTTCACTGAACACAATGTTTCCAGGGTTCATCCATGTCACTGCATGCACACATCAGTAAGTCTTTCTTTCTTGAGTCCTGAGATCGGTCCCCTCATAGTTATTGATGGGTACTCGTTCCTGCTCTCTCTCCTTTCTTTTCTTCTATGAACCAAGTCTTTTGACACTTAAGGAAAATAGTAAAGAAGGAATGCAGCCTTGTGGTCAAACACAATGGGTGAATGGGGTTCCCCCGTTTTCGTATTTAAAAGGTAGAATGTGTGACTTCTTTTGGAGGTGCAGTGGATTACTTCATATAACTCTTCTACCCATAGTCCTTGTAACTCACACCAAACACCTTTTTTCCTGATAGGTCTGGGTAAAAAAAACGGTAGGAGGAGATACTGATAGGATGATATGATTCATTTGTGAATAATTGCTGACAGAGTTCATTGTGATTATAAAAACTTGGAACTCTAATATGGGTATAAAATGAGCCATTTCAGAAGTGGGTATGGGGTAGAAGCAAGGGGGTGGGGATCCCACTACCATAAAATAATAAGAGCCAGGAGTGGTGTGTGTCCTTTTGGCCCCAAGATCCCTGTATATTGAACCTGTTCAACCCAGGGACAGACAGCTGTGACACCAGAGGAGAGGCAGAGGAGTAGCAACAACAGAATCAAGAGCCAGAGCATGAAACAGAGTGTTGAGTTTCCCAGCTCATGGAGCAAGTAAAGATGAGAGACTTTGGGCAGGAGTCTTACTTGCAGAGTGGAGCACCCCCAAGCTCTTAGTTGGAGGAGCTAGGCTTGCTGACTCATAAAGCTAGAGTTGAATGCCTTTAAGCTGAAGCTTATAGTCGAGTGGTGTGCCCTATGGGCTATTTATTGGTGGTGGTGGTTATGTGCTGTGGAGTCAGTTCTGACTCATAGCTACCCTGTACAGGGTTTCCGAGTCTATAAATCTTTACAGGAGCAGAAAGCCTCATCTTTCTCCTGCAGAACAGCTGGTAGTTCCGAACTGCTGACCTTGCAATTCACAGCCCAATTCGTAAGCAGCCCTAAAAGAGTTTTGTGAAGAAATGGGCTGAGTTTAACCACGTTCCATAGACTCCTGTTGACATGGAGATGACAGAGAGAAGAGGAAGGGCTCATTGGTCTGAAGTGTGGTGAGATCTGGGGACTCCTGAGCCCATGGACAAGGACATAGCCACGGAGGGCTGGAGCTGAGAGCAAAGCATCCAGCAGATATGTATGACATGAGGGGAGATGCATAAGAACATCCAAACTTGCAGATAGTACCCATTTGACTTAGCCTCGATAGCTTGATAATCAGAACTTGACTAAAGGAAGATAAAAAAAAAACAATTTTTGATAAAGGAAACTAGTGTAAATTGTTACCATTTGATGGACTTGACCTATACTTATGGATGTAATAGCTCAAAATACCAACTGAGAGGGAAGGAGTCTTCACATCAAGTATCAACCCTATCCTCTCTGTATACAGGGTAGATAGAGATAGGCAACTTAGACATTGTTGTTGTTGTTGTCAAGTGCCGTTGAGTTGATTCCAAGCCATAGCCACACTGTATAGGGTTTCCAAGGAGCAGCTGGTGAGCTTGAACCGCCAACCTTGCAGTTCAAATGGCTTTACAGTCTGGCGCATTAAGGCACAAAGTGACTGGCTTACAAGTTTTCAAGAGGAAGTTTAGTTTAAGAGTGTGTGTGGGAAAACAAAAATGAAGCTGCAAGCTAAGTAAGCCCTACCATGTTCAATAGACTTCTGTGAACCCAGATGGAGACCTGATTGGCCAGCAGTGTGGCGAGACCTGGGGACTCTTGGGCCCAGAGTCAGTGACATAGCCACAGAGGACTAGAGTGGAGAGTGAAGCATCCAGTTGATAAGAAGAGATGGCATATGCATAAGAACACCCACATTTGCAGATAATACCCGCTTGGCCTGGCTTCAATGACTGGGTGATCAGAGGTCAACCAAAAGAAGAAAGAAGAGGAAAAAAAGAATAATCTGATACAATTTGCTGACCTACACCTATGGATGCAGTAGCTCAAAAAAGGGAACAAATCCTTACAGTGAGAATCATTCCCACCCCCTCCATACACAGAGTAGACAGGGATGGGCAACTTGGACATTGGCTACCTAAAATGGGGGGCGGGGGGGGTGGAGCACAGCTACAAAGGCAAGAAGTGACTGGCTTATAAGCTTTCTTTCTTTTTTTCTTTTTTTAAAATTGTGAATTATGTGATAGTTTACATGGAAGAACATTAGTTTTACATTCATTCTATCATATATTGTCTCATTGCCATGGTTACAATCCCCTCCATGCAATCCTTCCCCCGTACCCCCCAGGTCTTCAGCACACAGTCGCTCCCCCTTTCTGGATCTAAAGTCTCCAGCTGTTCCATTGCTCCACGTCATCATCTCTAGCTCCATTTCAGGCATCACTGCTTCTCTGGGTAGGGTCCTGCTCTCTGCTCTTCTCCCTTGATGGTCCTAGGGAACTCTGCTCCTAGACTGAAAAGTTAATCACTCCCCTCCCTGCTATAAAACATCTACCTTTACATTTCCGACCCTCACAAACAGTCCTGATAACAATTATTCACTATTGTATTGTAGGACCAAAGAGAAGAATCCATTTTGTATATAAGCTTTAGCACGTCCTCTAGCTCCAAGAAAATGATATATGTATAAATAGCCAGGCAGCTCAAGGCCAGATGACAGATGTTTTCCTTTGCCCTAGCCTAAGAACAAAGACCACCAGTCCTGACCAATTAAACTGTAACATCTCATAGTTTGCCAATTGTTAACCAATCCAAAAATTGTAAAGCTGAGAAACCCGAGCTTGTTTGAAAACTATAAAAAACCTGCCGACAAAGGGTTCAGGGCTCTATCCCTAATCTGCTGCATCGGATGAGGTGGAGTCCAAGCCCAAGCTTGAATAAACAACCCTTGTGCACTTGCATCAGTTTTGGCTCCTTGGTGGTCTTTGGGGACCCCGAATTCTGGGCATAACAGTATCACAAGAGACCCATCTGCATTTCATTGCATCAACTCCGCCTAGTCAGATTGAATATTACTCACTGGAGATTCTACCTTCCTCCAGGCCCTCTGGATCTAGGGTGGCTTATAAGCTTTCAAGAGGGAACCTAGATTCAGAGGGCATGAAAGAAGGTAGAATCTCCACTGAGTAGTATCCAATCTGTCTAGGCAGGGCTGATGAAAGGAAATGCAGATGGGTCTCTTGTGATACAATGGTGAATAATTGTTATCAGTACTGATTGTGAGGGTTGGAAATGTAAAAGTAGACATTTTGTAGTAAGGAGGGGAGTGATTGAGTCTTCAGCCCAGGAGCGGAGGTCCCTGGGACCATCAAGGTAGAAGAGCAGAGAGCGGGAGCCTACCCAGAGAAGCAGTGATGCCTGAGATGGAGGCAGAGATGATGACGTGGAGAGATGGAGCAGCTGGGGACTTTAGACACAGAGAGGGAGAGGGGCTGTGTGCTGATGACCGGGGGTCAGGCTTTCAGGGTATACCCTTTGATTGGTTGATGATGCATGGAGGGGATTGTAACCATGGCAATGAAACAATATACGATAGGATGAATGTAAAACTAATGTTCTCATATGGAGAGACTCATGGAAAGAGAAGAACTGAGTGTTTCCAGGCAGGAGGCAGGGTTTCATAATATGCCCTTTGGTTGTTTAAATGACTATATACTCCTGAGTGCTTTTGTATACATCTCCCTACCCCACCCCCCAAAAAAAAAAATCACAGAGGGAGTGGAAGCAAATACTGTTAAATGATGATGCACCAAGGAGATTGTAATCATTGCAATGAAATGATGGTATAAAGCCGATGTTCTCTCATGTAAACTATCACTCAGTTCACAATAAAAAAGAAAAACAAAAAACTAATGTTCTCCCATGTAAACTATCACATAACTCACAATAAAACATTAAAAAAAAAAATAGCAGAAGTAGGGGAAAATAAAGATTTCCAATCATGGCTAAAAAAACCCAAAAAACCCACGGGAGCAGTTAATCTTACAGTCCAGAAACAGAGGACCTTAGGATCATCAAGGGAGAAGAGCACAAGTGAAATGCGGGACACTAACCAGAGAAGCAGTGACCCCAGAGATGGAGGCAGAGATGAGGACATGGAGAGAGGGAGCAGCTGAGGAATCTAGACTCACGGAAAGAGAAGGACTGAGTGCTGGCGGCCAGGAGGCAGGCTTGCAGATTGTGCCTTTTGGTTGTTTAAATGATTATATATTCCTGAGTGTTTTTGTGTACATCCCTCCACCACTACCCCCCCAAAAAGAAAGAAAAACAGAGGGAATGGAAGCAAATACTATTGAATGATGATGCACGGAGGAGATTGTAATCATTGCAATGAAATAATGGTATATAACCGATGTTCTCTCATGTAAACTATCACTCAGTTCACACACACAAAGAGCTTTGTAGGGAGAGGCCTGCCTGTGGGCACAGCTGAGGAGAGGCTGTCCTGACTGGAAGAATTGTGCCCTGAGTGGTTTTGACCCTGAATTGTAACTGGCTAACTTTCCGAATAAACCCTTAAGTGTGCATACTGTGTGGCCATTGTAATGAATCATAGTACCCAGTTG